AAAATAACTAGTCAGATGAGCCAGGTTTGAACCCTGGCCTCCAGAATATGAAGCGGAAATGCTAGCTAATCGATTATAAAGCTCTTGGGATCTCGAAGAAATTGAGAATAATAGGTCCATATTGGATAAGCGAGGAATATATACTGAAGAGTGTTTGAGAACAGGGCTCTGAGGGGACTATTTGGGTCCATTTGTGAGGTGCAGCTTAAATTGGGATGAAGGATTTGCTTAAGAAGAACGAAGAATCCAAGAAGACGTGATTTTGTAACATCCTTAACACTGAGAAGATTTCTTTCTTCATAGTCACCGCCGTGAAAGCCTCAAATCTTACATCCTTAACACTGGCCTACTTTGACGTCTTTGAGACGTTCTAAATATGATGGTCGCCTTGAGGTTTGGGTGCATCAAAGTCAAAATAATTTATATGACAACAGATGTAGACTTCTTATACTGAAGTTGCATGAACTTCAAAATGTTTAGTTTGGAATATCCAAATTAGTTTCACAGAGATAATAGATAAAGCTCTCCCTGTAACAGGCCCTAGATGCCCATAGTATTATGAGACGTCGAGGCTCCCACACTTTCTAGATAATCGACTCACAGATGGCGGTGAGGTTGCCAGCCTTACACGCCATTTTGGGAAGTCTAAATAATATTCTAACTGAATAAAGAAGATAGTCTAGAGGTACTGATCTGGAACTATATTCGGGAGATATTCTATTCTAATCTTGGCCATGACACCGGTTACCTTCGCAGAGATATTCCGTCGGTTTTTCTTCAATTTCTCCAAGAGAGTGCTGGCATGTCATCTCGATAAAGTCACTTCTTCGTTCCAAATGCTTTCCAATTTATTATCGTCCCATCAATCGATACTAGGAGTGTATAGTCTTGATAGTGAAAGCTTCTTCAAATAACACACAAAAGGTTATTGTAATGGGTTAGTAGGTTAACTGTGAGTTTCAGATAGGTTTGATGTTGATACAGAAGTAGACTGGCTTGATGTGTATCAGAAGAAGCAGCAGTTACAGACACAGACTAAATGTTAACTTCATTGGAATTTTTGAGAAGTACGTGAAGTCATTCTAGATTTAATTTCGATGTTTGTAATGGCCATTTTACATGCTCTGTTTGAACTGTAGGCTTCTTAGCTTAGGTCTTGATGATCGTTACGTAACTAGGACGAGCAGTGAGCTCATTCACGTGCCAAATTCCTTTTCATTTAGAGAGAGATCGCAGATAAAGAGACAGACGCATTTTAATCCTTTGAAGGGCGAATATAATCTTCAAATAACATATAAAAGTTTCTCCACAACGTCCAGAATACTTCTGGAACCCAGCCTCCTATCCAGTGGGTACCTGGGATAAAGCGGCCGGGCCGTGAAGCTGATTACTCACCTCTATCTAGTGCAGTGGTCAAGAATTGTGGAGCTATACCTCCACTCCCCCATGTCTTCATGACATATCTATCTATCTATCTATCTATCTATCTATCTATCTATCTATCTATCTATCTATCTATCTATTCCTGTTGCTCCCGCTTGGAGCACAGGGCATCCTTGAGACGCTTCGTTTCACCTCAGTTTCTTAATCTTAGATAGTTGGTAGGACTCCTTGGACGGGGATCAGCCCGTTGCAAGGCCCCTACCTACACAGGACAATACAGACACAAAATAAACACAAACAAACATCCATGACTTGAGTTGTATTTGAACCCAGGATCCCAGTGTTCGAGCGAGCGAAGACATTTCATGCCTTATTGCTAGACTGCGCGGCCACTGTGATCAGCTTTATGACGTATTTCCTAGTTAGTTAAGCACCAGGACAATCTTACCACAGAAACGCACTGTCTTGGTTATAGTGTCTAGTAGGTTCAGTGGTGCTCGGTAGACAATCGTTGTCTACTGTGAGAACCAAATGAAAGACATAAAATGTGTAGTTCTTCTTTTGGGTAGGGGATAGAATTATTGAATGTTAAAGCAGGCGTTACGTGTGATTCCCACTATAACTAGAAGCACCATCCTGACAATTGCGTAAAGAAACTGGTTAAAGGCAAAAGATAAAGTTATTCCTGTAACAGGCCATGAAGGCCCATAGGGTTGTTAGACGTCGAGGCTCCCATATTTTCTCTAGACTATCGGCTCACAGATGGCGGTAAGGTTGTCAGCTTCTCCCCCTCCCGGGGAAGATTCCTGGCACTCATTTATATTAGAGGTTGAGTCGACTCCAGGGCCATAGTGCAGCTGGAAGAATTAGATAAATTGAAGAAATCCACCACACCGGGACTCTAACCCGTGACCTTCCAACTTGTAGCATAGTGCCTCAAGCAACTATGCTACCGAGTGTCCAGTAAAGAAACAGGTGAAATCCATTAAAACTACTTTGTCACGACAGCCCACTGATCCGTTCGAGATCCAAACCCGTTCCTCCCGCATGAAAATTAACAACGTTGTCGCAATTTTCCCTCTGTGTGAAAATAACGTGTAATAAACACGAAATTAATCATAAACACGTAGTGGATAAAGGGAAATGGCGGGCTGTTGAAAAAAATCCTTCTTTCTACAATTTTGTTAGCAATGTCCCCTTCTCAACTTTAGCCTCAAACTGAAACATACAGACTGATTCTAAATTATTGTCGGGATTTCTATTTATATCCATGGATATCCCGACAATAATTTAGAACGACACTGTACAGTACTCATGCAGATAACGGCTTTTAACAAGTTTTGCGACACGCTTCAATTGTTTTCCGCTGCAAGAAGCGATAAGACCAAGGTGAAGGTAAAAATTTACCCGCGTTTTATTAATTAAGCACCACACCACAGAGACGTACGGGGTAGTGGAGACATAGCTCCACTATTCTCAATTTCGGCACTAGACGAAGGTGAGTTATCAGCTTCACGCCCCTGCCGCTTTACCTCCGGGAAAGGAGCTGCCGGTACCCATTGGACAGAGGCTGGTAGCCGGTCTGGAAGCTGCGGGAAACAGAGAAATTCCCTGCCTTTGCCGGGAATCGTACCCTGGTCGTCTAGGCTGCAGCCTGTCCCTACTTTACCCTTGAGAAGTTGTTAATTACGTACATGAGGGCAAGGTTCGATTCATTCAACAGTGGATTTATTTGTTTTTTGTTTATTTAACGACGCCTTCAGTATCTCAGCTTATGCAGCTGGTAATGTCAGGATGGCGGGCCACGGTAGCCGAACGGTCTAAGGCATGCACTGTCTTCGCTCGCTCCGAAGCCGGGATCGTGGGTTCGAATCACACTCAGGGCATGGATGTTTAGTTTGTGTGTGTGCGTTTTTCTGTGTTTGTGTACGGGTAGAGGCCTTGCGACGAGCTGATCATCCGCCCAAGGAGTCCTACAGAATTTCTAAGACCTAGTACACCGAAGTGAAACGGAGAGTTTCATGGAGGTAGGCCAAGGCCTAATTTGGGGCTGTAGCGCCAAAAGGAAAAAAAAGTAAAGATGATCAGTGAATCATGAATTGGATAGAATATAAAAAGAAGAGATCGTGGCTTAATTGAGATACTTTCTCGGAATTTGCCTGGAGCTACTGGGAAAACCCACGAAAAAACCTCAGCCAGGACATATGTTGGTCTTCCTTTTTGTCCATGTTTACGTCTAAGAATAGGCGAGTGAATATGTACCTTCCGCAAGCAAGTTATTTGACTGCTTGTGCTGGCAACGCAATATGTTTACATGATTCAGACAATTCTTTCTCCTTTATTTCAGGAATAAACTCTTTTAATTACACTGGCTACACGCCTATATGCAAACACAAACAATCATCTAACTCAGAAGCTCAGCCTTGCGGCGCACACAAGTGCCTGCGTTTTTTAACAAAACCCGGACTTATATGTTTTAACTCTTAATACATTTGTATGCTATTTTTATCACACATGAGGCCTGGATATAATTAACTGAAGGATTTCAAAAGAAGCAACTCTTTATTATTACGAATCCCTCATAATTTCTTTAGACTATTTCTTCTCGATCTTCAAAAATATTCTTCTTTTTTCTCTTCGTGTACCATTGACCTAATCTTCCCAGCCGCACTATAGCCCTGGGATCGACTCAGCCTCTAACAGAAATGTGTACCAGGAATCTTCCTGTGGGGTAAAGGGCGGCCGGCGCGTAAGGCTGACAACCTTACCGCCATCTGTGAGCTGATTGTCTAGAAAATGTGGGACCCTCAACGTCTCACAACACTATGGGCCTCCAGTGCCTGTTACAGGGATAGCTTTACCTTTAGCCATAATGCCGTCTTTGGGACACGATTTTGTTCCAACCCTTTAACATGTTCCCGCCACGCATTTTTCTGGATTTACAATTCCGCTATATCATCTTCACAGCTCTTCTAATCTCGAAATGTGGTTCATCCTACTGATTTCAGAAAACGCTCTTCGGTAGCTGTAAACTTTTAAATACACGTATTATCTTCTGTTATTTTCCAAGCTCCTGATACATTTCCAATGACGGGGCCTACGTATGTTCTTTCAGATACACGTAAGAGGTTTTTTTAGTTATGTTCTTTGGGATTTTGTTAAAAAATTCTCTGAGTACGTACGAGGGAGAGTCAGTAAATAGGACTCAAATATAAGTAATACAGCTCTAATGGATATAATAGGTTTTCTATGTGTTTCATTATGTAGACAGTCCAGCTTCATGACAGTCTCGGTAGCAGACGCATATGCACATGTTCAGAGGCTGGTTTAGTAGTCAAAATGGCGACCATCCTTGAGGAGTGTATTACTGAAGAGCAGCGTTCTGTTGTGGGTCCTCTGTGGGCAAAAGAACTCACTGCAAAAGATGTTCACTAAGAAATGTTTCCTGTTTACAGTGGGAGGTGTTTGTCGTGTAAAGCGGTTCATAACTGGGTGGCAAACGTTTTGCTGATGATGAAGAGGATGAAACAGAGATGAGGAAGTGGCTGAGACAACCGTTAAAAGACTTCTATGCTGTGGGTTTAGAAGCACTGGTAAAGCGATGGGACACGTGTATCATGTTGGTGGAGGATATGTCGAGAAATAAGTGTTTTTTTCACAGGCTCGAGTATCACATATTTCACGTTTTATATCCATTTGTGACCTATTTACTGACTCTCCCTCATATATATAATCTAACATGTTCATTAGTTGGTTGTGTAATGTGATTCTCCATCGATACTTCTATACTTTGGCAAAGAGAACCAAATAATATGACAAATTAGTTAATGCAATAATTTATTTTTATTTTAATTTTTAAATGTGTTAATTAAAAATAAGTCCCTAGATCCATTTATAACTCCTATGCTTCATCCCAGATGTCTATAGTTTAGTGATGCATTTAAAGTGAAATTTTACAAATGTCTCCAACTGCCATCTCTAAAAAAAAATAGTAAACTGTTCTAGCAGAAACTAAAAATGTGCCAGCCTGAGTACCGCCCAAGGCGGCAAGGAATTCCGCTCCCATCAGTTATAAACAAATAAACTTTACCAAAACCTTGCCTCAGTAAATAAAAACACGCAATTTCCAGACGCTGTGATGAAAGTCGCCCTTGGTCTTACAATATTACGTAACATATTTAGATTATCGAGACTTAATGGCTACGGTACGAACAGAGTATTGGCAAAAATACATTTTCATTTAGCAGAAACAAAAAAATTGTGTGTGTGTGTGCACGTAGTGTGGGGCGGGGGGAATTTATGAAATGTCCCATCCAAGGTGACAACTTTGTTCCAATGGGGTAAGAGTAGGGCTTCTGGGGTTCCATTTATTTTTTAAACATTCATTTAAAAAATATAAAACAAATTATTGCTGATACAGAGCCATTCTCTAAAAGCGAGTTTTCTTGAGGTTTGTCCACATTTTCATTACTTTTTTCTGAATATTCCAGTGATATCTGCAAATGCAGAGTCTCATTTTACGGAAGTGAAAACAAGGAAGTACGTTTTTAAAATACATTTTTAAACATTGTACAGATCTTGTGTTTACACTTGCTAGTACCGATTCTGTGTAAATGTTTTGATAAATTGCTCTAATTCTTCTACAGATATTTTCTTTTCAATGAAAAATGTGTAGGTATTTAAAGACATTCAGTAGGCCATGCACAAAATCTATAAAAGTAATGGGGGTAGGTGAGCCATAAACAAACTTTGCCGTGGGCCCCACTGATCCGCGATACACCACTGCTTGGTTCCCTGCGCTCTCGCGACCGCTCGGGGCGACCGGCTGTACCGGTGTGCACTGCCTAATGCGGTGGTGTCCAGTACAATTTACAAGCAAAACAAAGTACTATTTACAGTTTCTCATAGTGATTTGAAATTTTCCACAAATAATATTGTCGCGTGTCACCAGTGACATCCCACAGGTTGTAACAAGTTCGACCGTTAATTTGTTAGATATTTTTGAACTGTCGCAGCAGTATAGGTGATGTAAACGATAGCTCGCTTCATGTCGTTTCGTACAACTGCTGTGCAAACCCGTGATAATTATAACTGTCACTGTCCTCTTGGATGTGTTGCTCTGTATAAAAGTCCCGACGTTTCGGAGGAACCTCTTGTCTTCATCCTTAGGGTAGAAAAGTAATCCTCTCGGTGAAGTGAGGGCACTGGTATGGCGTGCTCAGAAGACGAAAACACCAGGCCCATCCGAAACGCTGGAGTTTTTCTAACAGAGCACATGGCTTCGCATTGCTCTACATAGCGATCTTCATATTCAGCGCCGTAAGAACATAAAATGTTACGCCCGTAACAATTATTTTGATACCTTTCTTTATCACCTTCGTTTGTGAATTATCTTGATGAGTAAAGTGTTTCATACAGCAACCAGCAAAAATGGCCGACTCGGAGAAAGAAGAAGCAGCAAATCTGGCAAGTTTATTAAATTTTAGACTCAGTTCGAAAATCCTGATTTAGTATCTGTATGCAAAAAATTGTTATGTACTTTTACCTATCTTCTGCCAGCTTTATCATGAAGCATCTTTTAAATTATGTCATCCTATGGAGCATTAAAATTGTCTGTGAGGAATTGCTAATTTATCTTTCTGCTCGTTCTAAAAATTTTAGGTTATGTTTGAATATTTTTGAATTGTTAATGTCTTTGTATTGTACAGAGAAGGCGTGCAGTATTAGCAGTAATGTAACTGTGTTTCTGTTACAGCAAATGGAGTTTGAGTGGGTTTTGCATGAAGAGGTTCATGCTGTACTTAATCAACTTCATACCATTTTATTGGTAAGTGCATTTGTTGCACTTTTTGGGGGTTTATATTTGATGCTACGTTATTATAGCAGTAACATGTAGTGTATAGTAGGAACAGAGAGAATCTGTACTTGTTCTAATTTTAAAGCTAGTATGTTTCATGTTGCCATTTTTCTATTGGGAAAGTATATGACAGATTTATTGCTGCTGGTTTAAGTTTAGACATTGTAGATTCTGTGTGGTGTCACGCTGTATATGCCTGTAAATATAATTAGTAGAAGATATTTTAGGGCAGTTCAGTTCACATATGTATTCTTTTTTAGGTACTTAAGTATTAACCAGTCACAAGTACGTATGCTGCTTTTGAGTGTGGCTCCAGTCTGATATGAACATATGTGACTCAAAGCTAACCTTAATATTTCCTAGTTCACAGAGTGAAATGTTTGATTGTGCTTTTAAAAGCTTAGGCCTTAATTCTGTTTTTAGATAGAAATATCTTAAAAAAAAACACAAGATTGTGCTTTGGGTTTTGTTGCTACAAATAAACTTCATCGGTTGGCAACACTAATATGGCAGACAGCATGACCAAAACTTTCAGAAATAACCTTCTGAGAACATTTGTTTTTTTCATTTATGGTTTTATTTGTACAAGGAAAGAGCAAGATTGTCCTTTAAAACAGGCCATTCCTTCTCATATATATATAATGCAGAGGAGGCAGTCTGTAACTCCATTATGCATACCTTTGTGTTTACAGGAATGCGTTCGCCGGTTCCCTGTCCCCTTGTGTGGCAATGATGGGGCACAAAAGCAGGACAAGTTTGTTTTGACAGCACCTCCAGAACAACTGAAGTGTGTGGTGACAGTAACGGGGGACAGCATCACACATGCGGTTTGTTTACATCTTCACCAAATATTGGTGACACTGATGTCGTCTATTTTATTAGTGTTTTCTCATCTCCAACACCACATTTCACACTGACAGCATTTCTTGCTGCTGCTCCAGAGGTACATGAAGACCTTCAGTAACCTTAATCAGCAAGGTTGCAGTAACATAGAAAGCACATGACTTTTGAATTGAAGATGACACTTTCTGGGATATGGCTTCCTGTAGATCTTTTGTGAACTGATGTTCCTTTGAAATATTGGTTCACACAAGATCTACACAGCGCCACATCCCAGAAAGTGGCATTCTTTATAGTCACTGCAATGAAAACCTCAAACCTTACAACTTTTGAATTACATATAACATTCTGATTCAACTTTTAGATACAGATGTGTCTCATCAAGGTTTGTAATAATCTTCCTTCTGGCATAAAGAACTTAGCTCATGACATGAAATATTTTAGATTTGCTTTAAAAATATTTCTACTTTTAATTTCATTTTACTTGGAAGAATATTTTAACTTCAGTATTAATTAACAATCTTGGTCTATTATATGCTATGCATCTGGTAGTATATATATTTATGTTTGATTATTGTAGTCTTGTTTGATATTAGTATGTTGCATGCTTTTACATATATATTTTATATGTGTTTAGTGATTTACTCATTGTGATTTGTCTTGGATAACATACGTGGGTCATTTCATAAATAATGCACAGGTTGGCAATGCTGTGGATTAGGTGACGCAGCAACAGTGAGCCTCACGTCAGTTACAGTTCAGGGCTTGAGAAAGAAGCGCGTTATTTTGTTTCATTTATATTGTACTCTGTTCTTAAATAACGTGAGTTAGAAATGGATCCTGCACAGTTCTCGGGTATTGTGGCTGTTGAAGATCAAAGGTCGTACATTAAGATCGAAACTTTATGTGGAAAAAATCAGACAGAAATCCACAGTGCTTTAAGTGAAGTTTGTGGCGAGTTAACAGTGGACTGTAGTACAGTTTCTCGCTGGGCTAATCGTTTTTGTGTAGGTCGTGTGAGCATGAACGATGATCCAAGGCCAGGAAGGCCGAAAACATCAACCGATGAACGAAGTGTGAAACTTGTGTCAGATGCTCTAGAAGAAGATCGTCGTGCGACATGTGAGGAACTTTCTGAAACCACAGGGATTCCACCAACATCAGTATTCCGAATTCTGATAAATGATTTAAAGAAGAGAAAGATTTCTGCGTGATGGGTCCCTCACTGCTTGACTGCAGAACAGAAGCAGAAAATCCTCAACATTGCAACCTTGCTGAAACAAAGATTCGACGTTGAAGGTGAAGCATTCTTGTATCGACTTGTCGCTGTCGCTATTGATGAATTGTGGGTTAGAGACTTTGAACCGGAGCTGAAATCACAGTCCAACGAGTGGAGAGGTCCATCTTCCCCATGACCAGAAAAATTTCGACCATCTCAATCAAAGGTCAAACAAATGTTGATCTTTGCTTATGATCACCAAGGAATCATCATGACGGACAGAGTTCCATGCGGGAAAAGTGTCACAGCAGTTTATTATCATGACTTTATGCAAAATCTGCGCAGAAAAATGCACAAAAACCGACCTCAGTTGCTCGAGGCTGGGCCAATCATTCTCCATGACAATGCTCACCCGCACATCGGGAATGTCGTAACAGAAAAGCTGCGCCAATATGGTTGGGAGGTGTTGCCTCATGCTGCCTACAGCCGGGACATGAGTCAACCAGACTTTGACTTGTTCCTAAAGTTGAAACAGCCTATGTGAGACCGTCGTTTTCCCTCTCTGGAAGAGCTTTCTGCTGCAGTTACCCGAGCCATTTGACAGATAAACAAAGATGGTGTCCTGGATGGAATAGTAAAGCTTCCCACACGTTGGGACTCGGTCATTGAGAAAGAGGGGAACTATATTGAAGGACTGTAAAGAGGCATTAAAAAAAAATAAACGTGGACATAAACAAAAAATTGTGTGCATTATTTCTGAAATGACCTATGTATGTAATTGTTATGGATTAAGTATAATGAATTTGTATTTATGTGATTGTTGTTGTCATTGACTATTTCTATATCCATTGATCTTCCAGTCATGTAAGAATCCATGGAATGTAAATGAATGAGTGAAGGGATGAATGAATGAATGAATGAATGAATGAGTGAATGAATGAATATTTTCTATCATGTCTCAGTTTTGTGTACTGAATTTTGAGCCAGAACTATTTTCTGTAAAATGTTCTTGCAAATTTAATCAGTCATAATGTGAGAAAATGATGTTTCATACAAGGATTGGAACTTCAATAGTGGCAACACTGTTGTAGAGACGCCATGCAACGGAACCAAATAATGTCACTTATACCACATGTTAGTTACATACCTAGCTTACTTCAGAGCAAATGGACTCTCCCTTCCCACATCATGCTCATGCGCAGTGATGAGAAGAACAGAGCCTCGTGTTAGCTGGTGGTCTAATGTAGTGTTGGGTCGATGTTTGCGAAACAGGAACAACGGAATTGGATAAAGACTGAATGTGCCAGAGGCCGTACAGCACGACAGTGTCGTCAGGGTCTTCAAGAGGCTTTCGGGGAATCTGCATTGCCTTACAGAACAGTGGCAAGGTGGGTAAAAGCCTTCAACAAGGGACGCCAAAATGTGGCAGACATGTGTCGTCCAGGTCATCCTAGTGTCAGTGAAGAAGAAGTGTATGCTCTTTCCGTGTTACTGGAGAGTGATCGATGCCATACGATACGTGGGCTGGCCCGAGAGACAGCATTAGCTCATATGACTGTGCTTCACATTCTGAAGGAACACCTGGGCATGAAAAAAATTACATCACGATGGGTTCTGCATGATTTAACGGAAATGCAGAAATGGCTATGATATGATGCTGTTCATAACCACTTGGAGTGCTATGAGCATGAAGGAGAGGCTTTCTTACACCGTATCATTATGCTGGATGGGACATGGGCCAAATCATATGAGCCACAAATGAAATGCCAGTCGAACGAATGGCGTCATAACGGGTCACCACGAAAATAAAAAGTTCGTCAGAACCCCAGCAATGCGAAATTTATGGTGATTCTCATGTACTACTGTGATGGTGTTATCCTAACGCATACTGTTCCTCGACAGCAGACCGTCAGTGCGCAGTATTACTGTTCATTTTTTGAACACAACCTGCGACCAGCTTTGAGAAAGAAACGGTGACGCTTTCTGCAGATCCCACCCATCATTTTGCAGGACAGTGCTTGGCTGCATGCAGCGCAAGCAGTGGCTGATTGGTTTGATCGATGGGGCTGGGAAGTGCTGTACCATCCACCATACTCCCCGGACTTAAGCCCTTGTGACTTTGACTTTATTCCTAAGATGAGGGAACCACTTCATGGCATTCGCTTCAGAACTGTTCTAGAGATTCTTCAGGCAGTAGACTGCTCCATTCGAACTATCAACACAACAGGCGGTGCTAAAGGTATCCTACGACTTCCACATCACTGGCAACGGGTTGTACACAATGCTGGTGACTACACTGACAGACAGTAAAACTTTGAAACATGCATCTATTTTGTATCAGTTGTAAATAAATAGTTGCCACTATTACAGTTCCAACCCTCGTAAGTGAATAAAAATGTATTCTTATTTACATAATTTCACTGTTTCACATTGCATAATCAGTAGTATGTCGTGTACACAAGAAAATAGTCGAAGACTGTCCATGTTACAAGTTTTTGGTTATCTAAGATTTGATGTACTCAGAAGTGGTTATGAAGAATTTTGGCATTTGGCATGTTATGGTGTTTAGTCTGTTGAAAGTCAGCCAATGTTGATTGACTTTCAATGGACTACACTGTGTTATATCTCAGAAGGTAGAACTCTTTGACTCATTTTTGTGATCAGCCTACCTAATTTATTTAAAGACACCTTAACAGTTATTGCATTTTTGTACATTAACGGAGGCAGTATATTCCTCAGGAACATCAGGCTGTCTTTGAACTAAATGGTATTACAGGAAAGAAAATCTTCCTCTTTGCATTCGCTGCTGTGAGAACTTCAAGTCTAATATGTATGAAACTTATTCACAGGACATTAACTTCAAGGTTCAACGCCAGCAGAATGTGATACACCGCACAATGATTCAGAATGACAACCCTTGGAAACTGCAGCAGGTTCAGGATGCAGGTAACCATCTGCAACAAGCTATCCTGCACATTGAAAATGTTGACAAAGATTACATGTTCAAGTGAGTATTGTTTTTATCAGGGTACAGTGAAATATTATTAGTTCGATAGAAGGAGATTAGAAATTAAAGTTTAAATTTGTATTTTCCTAAAAGTTTTTATGATAGCATATTAATACAGGTATAGATTTTTTGGATGTAACTGGGGTAGTGCAGTCAGATAGTGACTGGCTACAGGCTGGATGACCAAATGGTCGGAGTTCAAGTCCCAGTGGGTGCAAGAATTTTCATTTCTCCATGTCGTCCAAACTGGCTCTGGGGCCCACCCAGCCTCCTATCCAATGGGTACTGGGACTTCTTCGCCCAGGGTAAAGCGGCTGCAGCGTGAAGCTGACCACTCACTTCCTTCTAATGTCGAGGTCAAGGAAATGTGGGTGTACACATCCACCACCCCATATGCATTCATGGCATGTTAAGCACAGGGAGAACTTTACCTTTATCTGTTTTTATTAAAATCATTTTGGAGACTGGACACTGTCTGCATCCTCAAGTAAAAGCCTACTCTTTTGAGCCCAATCAGTAGAGCTAGTCCCGCTTTCCAGACACCAGAACCAACACAAGGCACGGTATACACAACATAAACTATCTGTGGGAGTTAAGATAGAAATTTAAAATGCCACATGGCTGAGGCCAATCGAAATTTAAAATGCCACATGGCTGAGGCCAATCACCTATGACAATGCATAATGTAATGGCTAGAGTCCATAAAATCAGAGTCAGTCAAAAAATAGAAGCCAAAATCATAGTCAGATTCTAAAAAGAACAGCTATAAAATTAATGATAGGGCACAGGCTGTATACCTTTAAAATAGCATATAAGCATAGATATACATACAGACCCATGGAATACAGAGGATTACATAGACAGATTTTGCTAAATACCAAAGAGGACCTAACAGGAAATAAACCAATAATGGTAAATATTACATAAATGAGACATCTGTATATTACCAACATAAAAACTGAACATTGTCATATAATCTAAACTTATTTTAAGTAGAAACAGAATGATGGATAATGTCTAAGAAATTAATAATTGTAGTGTTTTCCTGTTAATCCAAATTTATTTTATCCAGGTTAAAATTTATAGTTCAAACAAGTTATTATACCAGAACATTCTACAAGGGCTATATTTCAATACAGGCCTGTTGCATATATCTGCAACAAAAAGTTGGTAATAATGCAACATGTTTGCATATAACAACTGGAGAAATGCTGGATGTTTGTTCCTGTAGTTTGGTTGTGGGGTGTAAGTTTGGAGGTTTTCACAGCGATGGCTATGAAGAATCCCAGAAGACTGCATTCTTCTGATTCTGGGCTGTTTACAATTTTTTTTCTGCACATTACAATTCTGGGGGAAAATCAGACAAAAATAATAGACACTTTACATGAAGGTAAGGTGTGTATTAACTGCTACATGCATGTAGCATGTAACTCACTACACATTTATCAGAGCATGAAACGTATTGAATGACAGTTAATAGAAAAGACTGAAACATGCATTTTACTTTTTTCATCTCGCAGTTTTTGAGGTAATGAGGAGGGAATGAACACCCAGAATTGTTTGAGCTGAACGCACTTTTCCAAACTTGGTTAGTCATCGCTCACTATGTATGAAGACCGACATGTTGATCATAACTTGTCAGATGTTACATCACCTGCTTTTTCTGTAAGTCTTATGGCCTGAAAGATAAACAGATGTGAGTGAACATGGTAGAATTTTTACGCTCTGCATACATTTCTTAACTGTTTGAAGGTGTAAACTTGTAACTGTTCTGGATCTTACTTATGCGAGGAACACGGTGTATCATGATTGTGTCTTTGTGTATGTCTATGCGGGATAGTTTGAAGGCAGTGAAGCAGATGACTAAAGTACCCATGTAGAAAAAGAATGTTGATTTTCATTGTATTTAATAAATAAATAACTGTATTAAAATTGAATGTTTAGATCATCAGAGGAAGTATTACATGTCTTGGGGAACATTTTGGGTTGCTTGCAACGCGGACGTAGCAGTCTGATTGTACCTCGAAAACGTACGATAGATGATTTAATGAAGAGTCGGAATATGGTATGTTTCTTAAAGTAGTTTAATGCTCCTTTGTGTGAATGATACTGCAGTACAGTTATTACAATATTTTTTAGAAGTTCGGCATGTAAATTGTTGTTGTCTTATTTCAGAAATCTTTAGCTCCAAGTCTCCCTGAAGATTTGGCTATCAGTTTCTATATTCAGAGTCACAAGCTGATCTTTGCAGTGTACCAGCTCAGCAATGTTCATGGTACCATGAAATTTGACTCTCATCAGGCAGAATGCTCCATCCCGTGGCTTAACGAGGTGTTGGTACTTTTCACTGTAGCTCTGCAACTTAGCCAGCAACTTAAAGACAAGGTAATACTGTAGATGTGAAGGGTGTACACAAAATTTTCAATACCAGTTATTATATACCTCAATAAATTCTCTTCAGTTATAGACACTACTTCCAGGAATTAATAGAGTGGACGCAAAGTGAAAGGAAGTTCTAGGAAGAACTAATTGTCTGCTTTTTTTTTTTTTTTTGATATGTCATGGACCGCATAGAGAACGAAAAATTTAGGGGGATATAGTGACACACAGACAGCAAGGCAATATCATAAGCCTCCTAACAATAACTAGGAGGGATAAACAGACAGACAGCAAGGTGATATCATAAACCTCCTTCTGTTTTCATTTAAATAAGGAAAGTAAGCTAAAAAAATCAAATATGTTAGTTTTTAATGTGTGACTGTATTGCTACTGTCAGGAACATAGTCTGTATAGTGTTAAATGAATGGATAATATTGAAATAGGGGAAAGTGATCGTGGCTTAATTTAACCCTTTGCATGCCACTGACATTTTACGCTGTGTCACGAGATATCTTTGAATACTTACTTGTGGAAGGTCGATGCTGTTGTGTGATCATGACATGAGATAAATTCAACAGGCTCTGACATCATATGAACTGGCATCAACAGTATCTGCATGATTGTCACTATGTTTAGTATTATGTTCTTGATGATCTTTTCTATTATCTTACCTTTCTGTGTTTATGCTTCCCTGACTGATACTTTTTGTTATTTGTTCCTGATGTTTATTTTGGTCCCTGTATAAGTGTTTTATTACATTACTCATTAAGTTATGGGTATGCAGCTGTTTGTGTACTTTCTGAAATTTTTGCTTCAATTTCTTTTCATTTTATGGAGTTTGTAACCTGTTATCTTGGTCTATGACATTAAGGAAGGAACACAGACTGAGGGTGTTTGAGAACAGGGTGCTGATGAGAATATTTGGACTGAAGAGGGATGAAGTGACAGGAAGTCTGAGAAAACTGCATATTGAGGAGCTTCTTAACTTGTACTCTTCAACAAGTATAATTAGAATGAGCAGTCATGGAGGCTGAGATGGGCAGGGCATGTAGCACAAATATGGGCAAAGAGGAATGGATATAGGATATTGGTTGGAAAGCCAGAAGGAGAGAGACCACTAAGAAGACAAATATGTAGGTGGGTGGATAATATTAAAATGGATGTTGGAGAGATAGGATGGGGTGGTATGGACTGGGTTTATCTGGCTTTGGATAGGGACCAATAGATGGCTGTAATGAACCTTCAGGTTCCATAAAATCCTGGGAAGTTCTTGGATAGCTGCATAACTGACAGCTTCTCAAGAAGTACTCATCTGCATAAAGTTAGTTAGTTAGTTAGTTGTCTTGGTCAGGCTTTAGGTTTATGTTATTCATACAGATGATTCATACAGATATTCATGATTTGGGTCAGATATGAACCTTCAGATTCCATAGGTAAAAGATAAAGCTATACCTGTAACAGTCCAGGGAGGCCCATAGGATTGTGAGACATTGAGGCTTCCACATTTTCTAGACAGTCGGCTCACAGATGGCAGTGAGGTTGTCAGTCTTACGCACTGGGTGCCCTTTGCCCTCCAGAAAGATTCCTGGTACTCATTTCTGTTAGAGGCTGAGTTGACCCCAGGGCAATAGTGCGGCTGGAAGGATTAAGTCAATTGAAAAATCCAATGATCTCTTCAAGGATTGAACCTGCAACCTTCTGGCTTGTAGCATAATGCTTCAAGCAAATGTGCTACTGCGTGCCCCCACTTCAGGTTCCATAGAAGATGAATTTCTTGATGTGCTGAACATGACCAAGTTGGCTGAAGTGGCACTGGTTGATTGAGGTTCTTCATGATTTCAGTCACTCCTTTGAGGCAGATATCTGGATAATACCTCAAATTAGGTCACGAGAGTTTCCTTGCACATCCTTTCCAATTCATCATTCGTTTTTGTGCTACCATTTGAAGCTATGTAGCTATGGAGTGTCATTACATACATTGTAAATAAATAAAATAAAATACAATGAGAAGGAATCTGCTTCATGCAGCCATGGAGGTCTTTGTTTATGAGTTCTGTGATATTATTATAAACAGAGTTGTTTCTCTTTGTTCTTCATTGCAGATCTGTGTGTTCTCTCAGTACAGAGATTTCACTGTTGGGTCACGCTCAAATTCAGCTCTGTCTTGGTGAGGAACAGCAGGATAGTGGATGTTTAGTATCAAGTGGACACTTGCTAAGAGTGAAGTGATGGATGGCTGGGAATTGGCAAGTGAAGTGGCTACAAGACCCGAGTGCCAGCTGATCTGTGATAGCTGTTCCCAGCAACTAGTTGCTTCATCCTCACTCATCATTATTTATTGAATATAATCAGCAGTCTAATTGAGGACATTTAACTTCCAGCCAGACATTCCATTTCCTTCTTGTTGCAGTTCATAGTTCAGTAGTGAGAACATACGTATTTACAGCTCTCGATTAAACGATTAAGTTTTAATTGTTTAAAGGCTCAAGCAGAAAGTTAAATATATGTTTACTCCACTGTGCTGTGCAGGATAACAAGGAATATTGAGTAGAAATTACCATGAAGTGTAGGAATCATCTCTTTCCTGTCGGAAGACATATTACCAGTGAACCTCGTGTTTAGTAGTGACTGGTCTTTGAGTCCTAATTTGTTTTCAATTTTGAAAATGTATATACTTAATATAAAAATATGGGAAAATAGGTAGCTTTAGAGCACTAAGAGATTAGCTCGTAAACATGTAAATACATTCCATTGGATGCCTTCTGTTGATGTCTGATCCTAGAAGGAACATTCTTTTGTTGGTTTTCATACTCGTGAAAATATAACATTTCTCATGTGATAAGTGTTCTGTCAGCACAGTTTCAGATAACCAGACTTATGATCAAGTCAAGGAGGATGAAGTGGGCAGGGCATGTAGCATGAATGGGGGAGACGAATGCGTATAGGATATTGGTGGGAAAGCCAGAAGGAAAGAGACCACGGGGAAGACCAAGGCGTAGGTGGGTGGACAATATTAAAATGGATCTTAGAGAGATAGGATTGGATAGTGTTGATTGGATTGATCTGGTCCAAGATAGGGACCAGTGGAGGGCTCTTGTGAACACAGTAATGAACCTTCGGGTTCCATAAAATGCTGGGAAATTCCTGAGTAGCTGCAGAATTGGCGGCTCCTCCAGAAGGGCTCAGCTCCATGAGTAAGTAAGTAGTGCATTTATCACAGCAATTGTCTGTAATGGTTATTAACTGGTTGAATGTAATATACAGCGCATTTTGCATGTACAGGACCACTATTAAGAACATGGACTTCTGGGTTGTGATGACATGTAGTGTGATAGGTAGGTACTGACATGTTAGGGGAACCTGCTGCCCCCATCTTCAAGTTAGAAAAAGGAGGATGACTATATGAGGTCTGAGGTTCTCACACCAGTGAATATCATGATAACAGTCTTCTGGGATGTAACGCTGTGTAATGTGGTCGCTTATTCTATTTTGAGGATGAGATGTGTTGGTGCTTGTCTACTAGAATACATAGTATCACATCCCAGAAGATCTTCATATTCATTGCTGTGAAAAATTCAGATTTTTTATATTGCTGCTGTTAAGTGAAACAAGTATTAACACATACAGAGTGTTCAATCATCGAGGAAACTGGGGGATCAGCGTGAGTTGGATACAACATTTCTCACAGATTGCTGCTGTAACTGCCGATAGCAGAATGAGTTATCAGCACTGATAAACATGCACACTCTCACTAGCATAGAGCAGATGGATCATTTCTCTGCGACTGCTGTACCCTTCCCCACTAGCGAGAGTGCAGTCATGTTGCTGATTCCCTCACATCAGTTTCTGTACATGCACACATTTATAGGAATACTGTAAAAAGATAACACAAACTTACCGTGCTTTATAACAGGTGTTGGAAGTGACCCCCTTCTTCTTTCAGACATGCCTCGCATCGAATAAATAAATTATGTGACACTTTCTGAAGTTGGTGCATGGCAATTGAACTAATTACGTGTGTAAAATCCTCACTCTATACAGTAAGTGCCATTACATAGTGAAAAAGTGAGGGTGTGGTGTGCTGTAAGTCCGCGGCCAATCATTGGCTCCTTATTTTCCCACGAAACCGCAAACTCTGACCGCTACGTTACTGATATACTGAACCTGTTCTTCAATCAGCTGACTGCTGAAGAAAGACAATATGGGTCAAGACAATGCTACAGCACATATGGTTAATGCAACGATTGTCGCAATACGGGAAGTGTTTGAAGACAGAATAATCTGCAGGTGACTGTGGCCTCTCAGATCTCAGTTTTTGCAATTTTTATCTTTGGGGAAACCTAAAGGGAAAAGTCTCCAAGAATAATCCTCGCACCACTGAAGCTCTGCAGAATGAAATAACATGTGTAATTAGTTCAATTACTGTGGACCAACTTCAGAAAGTGTCACATAATTTATTTATTCGATGCGAGGCATGTCTGAAAGCAGACGGAGGTCACTTCCAACACCTGTTATAAAGCACAGTAAGTCTGTTACCTTTTTACAGTATTTCTATAAATGTGTGCATGTACAGAAACTGATGCGAGGGAATCAGTGACACAACTGCACTCTCGCTAGCGTGGAAGGGCACAGTAGTCGTGGAGAAACGATCCATCTGCTCTATGCTAGCGAATGTGGGTGCGTTTATCATCGCTGATGATTCATTCCGCTATCGGCAGTTACAGCAGCAATCTGTGAGAAATGTTGTATCCGACCCATGCTGCTCCCCCAGTCTCCTTGACGGTTGAACGCACTGTACTTGGAATATCACATACATTGTTTCTTGAAAGTCATAAAAGTAGCCTAATAGCATCCCCTAAGAGCAATTTTTTTAAACGGTAATTTTGAATGTATTTATTGTCTTTCCACAAACACACTACTTTTTATCAGCATTGTATGGTTTTTTTAAATTTTCTGTGATGATTTAGTGATGTTACAAGAATGAAAGAACCAAATGTCTGCAAAAGGTGCAATTTAAATTACTGGTTTTAAATTGCACCACAGGTTTTCTTAAATTGCCCTTCTGTTATAGGCAGTGGTAAAATAGGTTACAGGTGAGCAAGTAAGAAATGTACAGTGTAGCAGTACAAATATGTAGGTATTTTGCTGACACTAAAGAACTACATGCTATGTTTCCACCAAATATTAGAACTAAAATAAATGAGGGAAACACCTTAGCATGAACAAAAATAATAATAAAAAAAAGTCAGAATTCTTTTTGCAGTATCCTTTGTTATTTCCTTTGTGAAATCACATTGGATCATCGAGGTAAAAACAGATAAGAAATGAAACGTCTTTGTCCAAATCTAACGTTTACTGGAGACTAACTTCATTCACAAACATTACAAGATACCAAAGGTACATTAACAAAAGAAGTAGCAGTGGGTGTGGTACCAACTTATGAACAATATATATCACATGATAACTGTGGCCAACACTACAACTGTAGTAGTACAACATACTTCACATCACTCATGCATCCACTTTTGACAATGTTGACAGCACATCATATCATTTACCACTGCTTGACACAATATCCAGATACATTCTTCATTTCAATAAGAACGTTGTATTAAACTATCTTTGTAGCAGGTGTGCCTCTGTTCATTGAGTGTCCATTCTTCATCTGCTTTTTCTGTTGTTTTAAGCCATTTTTTTGAAAATGCATTATGATCAACAGTCCCTAGTTCAGTTGCCTGAAACCTCTTTGCACCATTGGATATCAGTGTTGCTTGGCTGTACGCTTCCGAAAGCAGAGAAGACACCTGGACACGTGGGCTGGGATTGGAATGTAGCCATTTGTTTACTGCCTGCTCATAGAGTTTTTGTAAAGGGTTGAAAATGGCAACAGCCAAAGGCTGAAGATGGTGGATTGTAGGGCCCATTTTTACAAGATATCTCTACAGCCTCCAAATTTTTCGAACGCGTAGGGTGTCCATCTAGGACAGGGGTCGGGGAACTTTTTTTACTTATTACCCCAAAATATATTTATTTACGCCGACGTTACCCCCTTGATTTGAAAGAGAGAAAATCATATATTATTCAAATTCAAAAGGTTTATTGAATCTATTTATATGGAGAATACAATTATAAATATAAAAACTATAAAATAAATGCGATAAAATACGAGTAAATTAATATCCTCATTTTGAAACAAAAGGATTTCTTAGAACATTTTTTTTAACTTCAGGTTTTGGAGAAATTATGTTTTTCATTTTTGATACAATAACATCAAAATTGGGACATTTTGATGTCAGAGCAATTTGCATACTGTCTTCGGGGTCCAATCGATTTCTCTGCTTTGTTTTTATGTTCAGTAGAGTGGAAAATCCTTGTTTGCAAAGGGCAGCAACTTTTTGACTGCCTCCTCATGTGCAATTTTGAAAGCATTTGCAGCTCTTGACATCCAAAAATATGACAGATCTGCTTTGTTTTCAAATTCAATACGTGCTTCATTATTGGATCGAAGTTCAAGAAGTGCCTCTGCCAAACCTTGAGGCTCTTCTGGTACATCAGCAATTTCACATTTAAAGGGATCTACAACCCAACTGACATTATGTGAATCAAGATCTGGAAAGTAATCATCGAACCGCTTTTTGAGTTTGGTAAGATGCCTTATAACTGTGTCCTTGGTGTCGTCAAAAGTAATATTTTCACAATCTTCCAAAAACTAAGCCAACCTTGAAAAGGTAGCAGTCTTGTTTTGTTCTGTTTTCTGTCTCCAATATAAAAGCTTTGATCCAAACGCTGAAATCTTTTCTCTGGCTGAAATTATATTAATGTTTTTTCCTTGCAATTCTTTGTTCAATGCATTCACATACTCAAAAATGTCAGCTAAATATGCGAGATGTGCAACCCACGAGAAGTTTGTAAAGTTATCTGCGAGAACATGCTTTTGATCAACCATAAAAATTTCAAGTTCAGTTTTGAGAACCCACACTCGGTTCAGAACATTTCCACGTGACAGCCACCTCACTTCTGTATGATAATGTAGGTCTGTATATTCAGCCTCTCCATCTCTACATAATTCACGAAATAGTCGCGTGTTTAGTGCATGTCCTTTGACAACACTGACAACGTTGATAACATCATGCATGACAGCTTCCAGCGCAGGTTCCAAACGTTTCACAAGCAGTGCCTGGCGATGGATCTCCTCTTCAATTGCATGTAAACCTTTGTAGCAAACATACACCATCAGCTGCGAATTACTACTGACATCTGTAGTTTCATCAAGCTGAATAGCAAAGCATTTACTCTCTTTTATTGAAGAAATAACTTGTTCCCTCACATTTTCTGCTAAAATAGAAATTCTTTCTTTCACAACTTTTGCAGACAAGGGCACTGAATTTAGTTTTGCAGCTTCTTTCTGACCACACATAATCTCTGCCATTTTCAAAGCTGCTGGTTTAACCAATTGCTCACCAATAGTATGTGGTTTCTTGTTTCGGGCAATCAACCAGGCCACTTCAAAGCTGGCCTTTGATGCTGAACGTTGATCGAATGTACTTCTCAAGTTGCTGTTCAGTCTTTGTTTTTTGACAGACATTTCCAAATTTACAAAGTATTCCCGTGGTTTGGAAGACAGGTGTGGGTGCAGATTATTCAAGTGTTTCTTCAATTGACTCTTTTTGAAAGATTCTGCAGTCAGTACTTTCAAGCAGACAACACACTGTGATTTCATTATTCCTTTGTCTTCTATTTGTCATCATCATCATCATCAGTAAGACAACAGATCCACAGTCTTTTTCAAAACAATTCCTCCACTTAATGCGATCTAGAGCTTTCTCCTTCAAATGACAGTATCCTCTTCTGTCCCCAAGGTCATCCAGCATCTTCTTACGTCTTCTTCCTCGTCTTCTTGTCACTTCTATCCGCCCATCTATCTTTCCTTCGATAGCTTCTTTTAGAAGGCAGTTTCTGCGTAAAACATGACCAATCCAATTAGCCTTCCGTTTTCTTATTTCATGTAGGATATTCCTCTGCTCACTGACTCTAATTAACACTTCTTCATTTCTCACATAATCGGTCCAACTGATCTTCTCCATTCTTCTCCAACACCACATTTCGAAACTTTCCAGATGTTTCTGATCTACTGCCCTAAGTGTCCATGTTTCAGCCCCATACAGAGCTATGCTCCAAATGTAGCATTTCACTAGTTTCTTCCTCAAATTTAAGTCCAATTTGCTGGTAAAAAGATTCTTCTTCTTGCTAAATGCAGCTTTTGCCATGGCAATCCTGGATTTAATTTCACAAGTACACCTTCCATCATCTGTTAACAAGCTACCCAAATATTTAAAACATTTCACATTCTCCACTTGTTTTTGGTCTATCTTTATTGTGACTGGGGTTGGTTGTCTCGAAATTTTCATTACTTTTGTTTTCTCCACATTCATTTCCATGCCATAGCACCTTCCAATTTCAATTAGTCTATCAATCATGCCCTGTAGCACAGTTTCTTCCTTAGCCATTAACACAAGGTCATCTGCATATTTCACAGTTTGAATAATTTGCCCTCCTACTTTGAAGTCACCGAGCCCATCCAGAGCTTCCTTGGTAAGGCATTCGCTGTACAAGTTGAACAGAATTGGTGATAAACAGCATCCTTGTCGAACTCCTCTTCCAATCTGCACACTTCCTGTCTCCCCCCTGTCCAGTCGTACTCTAACTTTCTGATCCATGTACAATTTGCTAATCAATCTTCTTTCATGCCAATCGATACCTGTTTCTTTCAGGATCTGCATTAATTTGGTCCAGTTTACCCGGTCAAATGCCTTCTGCCAGTCTATGAAGCAAACACACAGTTCTTCATCTATCTCCAAAGTTCGTTCCGCTATAATTCTCATCATCCCAATTGCATCCCTGGTTCCTTTTCCTCTTCTAAATCCAAACTGATCTTCTCCAAGTACATCCTCTATTTTCCTTTCAATTCTTCTTTTAAGTATCTTTGCTATTATCTTTGCTGTATGTGCAATAAGACTTATTGTGCGATGGTCGCTGCATTTTGTAGCTTTTGTCTTTTTCTTTAAGGCAATCATTGTAACTTCTGTAAAGTCCTTGGGCCACTCTCCACTTTCATATATGGTGTTCATTAGTTTTGTCAGTGTTTTCAAACCACCTTCTCCCAGTAACTTGAGCACATCTCCAGGTACATCATCATCTCCTGTAGCCTTTCCCTTCCTCATTTCCTTGATAGCTTTTTCCACCTCACTTTGTAAAATATATGGTCCTTTCTCGTCTGTATCTACTTCTTCTTCCGGTTCAACTTCTAAGGTTTCTGGCCGATTAGGTCGATCATATAGTTCTGAAATATAATTTTCCCAAATTTTCAGCACTTGCCTCTGATCTACTATTCTATTCCCCTGGGAGTCTTCGATGCCAACATTTTGAATCCCATGATTCTCTTTCCATCCTAGTTCTTTTGTCTTCATGTACATCAAATCATAACGGCCTGTTCTTTGAAATTCCATAATCTCATTACATATCTTCTCAAGATATTCCTTTTTGGCCCTGTCCGTGGCTCTTTTCAATTCATTCCTCAGTCTCCTGTATTTCCTCCTGCCTTCTTCATTGTTGACATTCTTCCATTTCCTTCGCTCCTCCATTTTACTCATCATCTCCTGTGTAACCCATGGTTTTCTTGCTATCTTCTCAACTTTACCTACCAAATCACTGATAGTATCTAACATGCATTCTTTTATATCGTTCCACTGCGCTTCAGCATTTCCGCTTTCACCTTCAATTGCACCGAGTTTCTCTTCTAGAGTCTCTTGCACGCTTTGTCTTTGAGCATATAACTTCTCCAAATCCCATCTGGGTCTGCGCTTTCGAAATCCTATAATTTTCTTCAACCTGGTTCGGAACTTGGCAACCAGCAAGTTGTGGTCAGAGTCAATGTCTGCCCCAGGAAGCGTCTTCACATCCTTCACACTGTTTCTGAATCGATGTTTCACAAGGATGTAGTCCAGCTGATGCCTCTTCCAATCCCCAGGTGCCTTCCATGTGTAAATTCTTCTCTTTGGCTTCTTGAACCAAGTGTTGGTAACAATCAATCCATTTCGTTCACAAAAGTCAATAAGCATTTGACCTCTGTGATTCCGTCTTCCTAGTCCATGTGATCCAATTCTATTTGTGTAAACCCATAATTGAGGAAGTCTTCCTTTTATATTCGTTTTCTAGTTGATGTCATCTGAGGGGTAAAAAACAGTGATTCAAAAGGTTTTAACCCTTCAGCACACGCGTTTCTTATAGTTACACGAGGACACGCGTAATGTGAAGGAAACCTCCGCATGTACAACATGTGTAAGTCAGTACTGGAGGCCGCGCCATAGCTCAGGCGGTTAGTTGCACATGTACTGTAACACGAAATTTCCGATTCAGTGTGATAAGATCAAACTGCTACTACTGCACATAAATGATAGTGCGTTGGTTTCATGAAAAACTTCATTTCACTTGCTTATTAAATAATGAATGAATTTATTGATAGTAAATCCTTGCTAACAAGACGCTATCTTACCTTGATCGTCGAAGTTTTTGAGCATAAGATAAAACAATAGGTGACTAGGCCAAAATGACGTATACAAGACATGCGCTTCTGCTGGCTGCCGAGCCTCAACTAACGCTATCGTCCACAACGGTCCACAACATGCTGGGTGTGTTTATCTATAGAAGTGTTTAGTGATGACGTCACGCTGCCATGATGGACTCTTAAACAATTTCCGTAGCAGCCGTTGTTACGGATGGTTATATGCCGGAAGAAAAATTTCTGTCGTAACAAGGAACGCGTTTTTTATACAAGTTCATTGATGTCTACTGAGTCCTCATTACCCCCAAGAATTTCATTTTTACCCCAATTGGTGTAATTTACCCCGGTTCGCCGACCACTGATCTAGGACAAGCAACACTGCCTTCTAAGAGTTCCTCAAATGAGCATTTGGGTATAGCACACCATTTGTGACATTCATTTCCACCTTGAACTTGGCAAGGGCTCACTGCATGTCCCAGACTGCTCCATACCATATTTTCTGCTTGCCATAAACAAAACTCTGTCCGATTTTGAAGCGAGATTACTTAGGAAAAAGGTTTCTGAAATTGCACCAATGTTATTTAGGAAACACTGGAGTGGAGGGTTTTAGAAAACTCTACTCATAGCAATGAACATGGAATATAACCTTAGAAAATGACATAGATGTTAAAATTTGCCAAAAATGTTTGCATTAAGAACACTTGTTTCAAATGTGTCCACAGTAAGAGAGAATTATTACCTTGATTATCACAAAACCTTATGACAGGTTTCTAGAAAATCGCTTGCCACAAGCCAAGCCTAGATTGGTGAGAATGTTGCCATTTCTGAGGGTTCATGGGTAATTATTGTAGTATGCAGTAAAACCTGCAGAAGCGAGGGAAGAAGTAAAGATATCCCAGTAACAGACCATGGAGACCTGTAGGGTTGTGAGATGTTGAGGCTTTCACATTTTCTAGACATTTGGCTTATAGATAGTGGTAAGGTTGTCAGCCATACACACCAGCTACCTTTTTACTCCCAGGAGGATTCCTGGTACTCATCTTTGTGAGAGGCTGATTTGACCCCAGGGCCATAGTGTGGCTGGAAGGATTAGGTCAATTGAAAAATCCAGTGACCTCAGTAGGAATTGAACCTGCAACCTTCTGGCTTGTAGCATAGTGCCTCAACCAACTACACTACTGCATGCCCCAGAGAGGATAAGTAATCTTGCATTTTGTCTACAACAGTGGGGTGATTTAAGCGCTGGTGCAATGCAGGCTACTTTTCCCTATGTGGTAGCATCTTGTCTTAACAGCATTTGACAGCAGAGCAAGAGGAATGAACTGAAGCAGAAGCAGCATGGAATCAAACATTGACTCGACAACATCAATTTTATGTGGGCAGACAGGAATCTTCGCTGGACTAATATCACACTACCTTAAATCGCTGTAAAAATGCATGTTTTATTTAAGTGTGTATTCACTTTAGATGTTACTGGCAGTATTTTAGTGCATTATAGTGGTATTTGGTATGATGAAAAGCAACAGTTTTTATCTTGTCACTCTTCTGAATCATTCTGTAAAAGTCTCTTTAGCATACCTGGCATTTCTTCCTAGGAATAGCTTCAGAAGGTACGGGATTCAAAGGTTTTATGTGAGTATGTTGAAACACACATTTGAATTGTATTCTTCATGCAAGAATGTTGTAAGTTTCTGCATACATGAACTTTGTCGCATTATACTCAAATTATAAATACTTTTTTCTGATATTCTGTTCCTACCTGCTGTGTACTAGGTAGACTTAGTAATGATTTTAGCACTGTAGGATATGGATGCATTTTGACAGAACATTTACAGGGTTCAGGTGTTGGAATAAATAGTTGTGTTATATTTCAGGGTAACAAATATTAATTGGGGGAATGTGGTAGTGTAGTTGGTTGAGGCACTATGCTACAAGCCAGAAGGTCGCGGGTTCAAGTCCTGATGAGGTCATTGGATTTTTTCAGTTGACCTAATCCTTCCAGCTGCACTATGGCCCTGGGGTCAACTCAGCCTCTAACAGCAATGAGTACCAGGAATTAATTAAATAATTTTCCCGGGGAGTAAAGCGTGGCCAGCGCGTAAGGCTGACAACCTTACCGCCATCTGTGAGCCGATTATCTAGATAATGTGGGACCCTCAACATCTCACAACCCTATGGGTCTTCACTGCCTATTACAGGGATAGCTTTACTTCACTTTTTAGAAATATTAATTACATTACAGTTACAGATTTTTTTTGTGTGTGAAGAACTTCCTTCCTGAACCTTGATTTTTAAAATAGAAGATGGAAGATTTGTGTCAGGGTGGATCAATAAGTAACATCTGCATCAGAATAATAACTATTATTTAATAAGCTGATATAAACATTACTGTTATCAGTCTTATAAATTAGAAATTTATATCCTATTTCTGAGATTGTGTACTTTCTTAGAACGTTTGTTTTCATTGTCAGACATTGAATCTTTAATTTTCAATTTTGTAATTACGTTATTCGTCTTTTGTAAATGTCCTTAGTTCAAGTCCAGTAATTTTTGTAATAAATAATTCTTTAGTTTTATTTCAAACGCAGTAAAATTCACAGAATGACAGGTGAGTTTCCATCCTTGCCATGTGTATTGGGCATCACTTCAATTGTGCCATCTGGAACTAAATATTTTTTACACTTTACAGTGAATCATATTCTGTTTTGTAAGATGTGTAAGTTGAGGTGCTGCATGTACACTGGTTTTTGTTTCAGCTTGTTGTTATAAATAGATTTCATAGCATCATAGTTTACATTATATTATTGCCATGGTAAAAACAAAATTTGATGTAGATCGTGGTATTTCACTTATGTACGTGGTGCAATCCAAAAGTTCCTGAAATATATTAATAAAAACTATTACATCTTACCTAGATCTTATTCTGCACCATCACCTTCAAAGTAGTCCCCTTGGGAGCGCATACACTGATCCCAGCGTTTCTGCCGCTTCAAATGCATCCTGGAAGTCTTTCTTTGTTAGGGTGTTTAGTATCGTCTGTGTTTCTGCTTGAATTTCCTCAACTGTATCAAATCTTCGCCCCTTCAACTTGATTTTCATTTTGGGGAAGAGAAAGAAGTCGCATGGAGCTAAGTCTGGCGAGTACGGTGGGTGGGGAACAACTGCCATCTTGTTTTTAGCCAAAAATTCCTGCACAATGTAAGCCGTATGTGGTCATGCGTTGTCATGGTGGAGTACCCAGTCGTTCGTGCGCCACTTCTCTGGACGTTTTCTCCTCATGTTCTCCCTCAAACACAAGAACATTGTGATAGACCTCTTTATTGACTGCCTGACCAGGAGGGACAAACTCCTTGTGAACAATCCCATCAATATCAAAAAAACAGATCAACATGGACTTAATGTTGCTCTTGACTTGTCGAGCTTTTTTTGGCCGAGGTGAAGAAGGGCTCTTCCATTGCGACGATTGCTGCTTGCTTTCAGGGTTGTAGCCATAAACCCAACTTTCATCACCAGTGACAACCTTCGAAAGAAAGTTTGGATCCTCTTGAAGCTGTTGCTGAAGTTCTCTGCAGACTTCCAAGCGATGCTGCTTCTGTTCATTTTGCAGCAGTCGTGGCACAAACTTCGCCGCAATCCTCCTCATGTTCAGTTCCTCTGACAAAATTCGTTGACATATACCATAACTTAGTCCCAATGCGTTACGGAGGTCTTGGATGGTCAGTCTACGATCTTGCAGAATCTTGCAGATCCCTAACTTTTGTGACATTTTCTGGTGTTTTGCCCGTTGACGGCCGTCCCAAACGATCGTCATCATCAGTCAATGTTTGGCCATTTTTAAAACGCTTATACCAGTTGTAAGTTTGTGTCTGGCCTAAACTGTTTTCACCAAAAGCTTGCTTCAACATTTGGTGCGTTTCTGCAGCGGTTTTCCCAAGTCTGAAACAAAACTTTATACAGACCCGCTGCTCTCTCAGGTCAGCCATCGCAAAACCGCAAACTCACGGAAACACAACAATGGAAATACGTTCACCAACAATAAACCCAACCACTCAACTTGACGCCGCTTGCCACACTGATTCAAGAAGGATGTGTGAGGAGACACCTAGCAGTATTTCGATGTACTCTTAACCATTCGTGCGCAAAATTCAAATTTCGGAAACTTTTGGATTGTCCCACGTAAATACAATCTTGGAATGATTGTGCCTCTTCATAGGAAAGTTGTAATTGAAGAACTGGGCAGCTGTGCAGGATCATACAGTCACCTTGTCAGGTGTAGCAGAAAACATATGGCTCTCTCTTACTCTCTGGTTGCCAATGTCTCAGTTCCATTTAAATCTTGATGAAATAGCAGCTGCATAAATTGCTTTGGTTGTCCTTTCTTCTGTATGGGCTTTAATGTGTGTACCATATTTATTATTTATTAAAGGTAAAAGGTAAAGTTGTCCCTGTGCTGAACAAATTAAGCACTACGTCATGAAGGCATATGGGGAGTTCATGTATAGATCCACTAACTGGAGGTGAGTGGTCAGCTTCACGTTCCGGCTGCTTTACCCCTGGTGAAAGAACCCCCTTGTTACCCATTGGATAGGAGGTTGGGTGGACCCAGAGCTGGTTTGGACGATTTGAAGAAGAGAAAATTCTTGACCCTACTGGGACTCAACTCTGACCCCTCGGTCATCCAGCCTGGAGCCAGCTGCTATACCGAATATGCTACCCTGGCTTATATTTATTATTTTTACTAATAATTATTAAGTATACATCCCACACCAGTTACCATTTCTGAACATGTTTAATATTTTCTGACAGTATGAAACCATATGCAGTTATCTGAAAATTAAAAAATGAACAAAATGTTAAAGAACTTTGACCCTTTTTACCTGTTGTAAGTATTTGACATGTTCTATATTGTAATTAATATTCTCATGTAATTCAAGATTAACTTATTATGTTTTTATGTAACTTGATGTAATGACTTGTTGATGCTATGTAAGAAATCAGCAACTGGATATAATTATTTATGTCCTCATCAGACAAATCTAAAATTTGTTTTGTGTATATTAAGACAATAATATTGTGTGTATACCAGTAGTTGTGACATTTCAAGTGGCTAGGCTGTGAGGATTGTAGTTATTGTTGGGTATGTATATGTATGTAACGGTGTATTGGGCAGGGGTACTGCTGTACAACTTCTTACTGCAATGCCATTGTCCAAGAAGAAAGCTTACACACTGAATTCTAACTCATTATATGCAAATGGGGTGAAATAAACATGTTACAGGTGCACTAATGAAGCGTTGCTGAAGATGGCTGTATGCATACACTAGGATAGATATTACATTTGACATTATTGTTTTATTTTGTACTGCACTCCATGTAAATAAGTCCATGGAGCAGAGCCCTTTGGAAGCTGGTAGTGTGTGACAGTAGGGGATGCACCCCACTCTGCATGTTTGCCACTGACTGGCCTATTGTACTTGCCCCGGGTGACTATGATTATGGAGAATTAGGTGGAATGAAGATTGGCAGGGGAAACCGAAGTACTTGGAGAAAACCTGCCCCAGCACCACTTTGTCCACCACTTGACCAGACCTGGGCTTGAACCCGGGCTGCTGCGGTGGGAAGCCAGCGACTAACTGCTTGAGCTATGGCGCGGCGAAGCTGGTAGTTACTCGTATGGTTAAAAAATTATCCTCCTCCTATGAATCTGTGACTGGATTCTGTTCTGATGCAGCTCAATTCAGTGCACTCTCAGACTTCTCTGCATATGCAGTTGACAGGCAGGAACCAGTCTGAAGATATTTTTGCTCTACAGAGTTATTGTCTCAAAAAAAGAGGAAAATTGTCTGGTAAAATGATACCTGTCCATTCACAATCTTCAAATACATTATATGTGAAAATACATCTGTTACCATTCCATGCTCTTGGCTTGAAGTCACTTCAAGCTAAGAGTTTGTACGATTGTTTTCTAGATGTTGGAGACATCTCTGGGATAGTATTCAAACTATTAGAACTTCAAAATTGAAAGATACATAGTCGAACTTTATGACTTTAAAATCATTTTGTTTCCACTGGATTTGAATGCTAAATGTTCCAGGAAAAGAATTGTACTTCAGAGTAAGTTGACCTGTCGGGGCTGCGCCATAGCTCAAGTGGTTAGTTGCTGGCTTCCCACCGTGGTGGCACAGGTTCGATCCCGGTTGTAGTCAAGTGGGATTTGTGGTGGACAAAGTGGTGCTGGGACAGGTTTTCTCTGAGTACTTCGGTTTCCCCTACCAATCTTCAATCCAATTGCTCCACAATCACCCTCACCTATCATCTGTGGATGGTACAGTAGGCCAGAAATAGCCGCATTACAAGGGATGTAGTCCCGCCCCACTAGCAATAAAAAATTTAAAAAGTTGACCTGTCAGAATTTTGTTCCTTAACTAGTAGTATGGTTTTCTGGGCTGTATTCCCAAGTAGTTTTGGAGAGAGCTTGACGTTTCAGAAGAATATGTTGCCTCCATCTTCAGGGTCGGTGAGTCAGCCAAGTCAGAACCTGCAAAAGTTGGGCTATCTCCTAACTACATGGCATTATTGCCCAGATGACTGTACTCTTCATAGCAGTCCTCCTTGAGAACAAGTGCAGTGATTTACTTTTTAATGTTTCCTGTATACAACATCGTTCTCCCTTCCTCTTTTTCTATAATACTGGAAAATATTGTAACTTTCACTTCTTTTGCGTAAGAGATTTTTTTTTTTTGTTTCCATGTTCAAATTTAAAGCATTAATTAAACCTGGCAGCACAAGATAAGCCAAGTCAGGTTGATGTGCCATGCCTGTGAGGGATATAAGGATTATTTTAGGTTGGTGTAAAATAAATAGGACTTTGGATAATAAAATAATGCTTCTTATTCACTGCCACAAATATTAATATTTTCTTTCCCTAAGGCAATGGCTATTGCAGTGAACAAATACCTTCACTGATGCCCAGTCACCAGGAGAGTTAATGGTTGATTGGTATGAGGTAAAGTCAAAAGCAATAAATTATAATTCATTATTGGTTATTCATATACAGCATGAAATATATGGCGCATTAAATAAGATGTGAAGTCACCATCTGTGTGGCCATTTTATTTGCAACCTGGCAATATAACCAACCTGATTCCTCATCCTACACAGTTGAACCGTGAAAATGGATGGAACCTATTCCACTGAAACTTTGGTATTTGCTCACAAGATGCTGTCACAATTCAGAATACCACTCTGTTCAGTAATATTGTTTTCTTATGACAGCAAGAAGGAGTCTAGCCACAACTCCAGCCTTTCTTAACCTAGGGCACTTGATGGAGGTAAGTACTTAGGTGCATATTACACACAGATACTTGGAAGGAAACAAGTTTTGATGATGGGTGCAGTGTGTGTGAGACAGGAAGTGTAACATCAACAGCACGTGTGAATGCAGGTTGCTCACAGAATGTGTGGACACCAGTGAAGGAATATGCTATGACTGCGGCTGTGGAATGAGAGCCACGGAGAAGCTCACACAACATTGCACCAGAACTGGAACTGTCCCAACCAAGGGTCCTTAGAAGCATTTCATGACAATTGCATTCATACCACTGCACATGGAGCACACATATGTTTCCAGATGGCCCTCTTTTGCAGATTACTATGACAACACACAGTAGATGAACTCTGTACATAACATTTGGGGACAGAAAGCATATCTTTGATACCCAGTGCAGAGCCGGTCTGAACGTGACAAAGAAGATAAACTCCCTACGCATCTGGGTATAGAATCCTGGTTGTCTGCTTTGCTGCTCAGTTATACTAACTGAGCTATCCCAGTGAATTGAAGATGGAAGGGACTTTTTTAAATGTAACAGGAGCAATCTAGAGTTTACTCTGTGTGAGTTGCCCACATTGAATCCAGTGTGGACCACAGCAGCTCCAATGCCCATTGGTTCGCCCTGATCGGCTATCGCCAGATTCAATGTGGGCACCTACAACTCACTTTCATTGAGATGGTTTGGTGTGTATAGTTATGTATTGTTTGGATAAAATGTATGACGTTTGGCCTGTCTGTTCAGGTCTGAGTGGTCTTAGAGAATAGATCCCGTTTCCTTCCTACTTGAAAAAGAACATTCTCAGAAACGTCATTGCACTATTTTACCTAGACAGTGGACAGTATCCAAAGAAAATACTTTAACTGATTTACTTTTTATTTTAAATAGCACTGCAGGTGCCTTTATGGGATATTAGTGATTTCCAGGTTTTACGACGTTTGACCAACTAGTTCAGTGCCCTAAATATTGATTTTAAGGTTGAGAGCATGACCCAGAAATCTTCATTTGTTGAAAGTTGTTCACCTGTCAAGATCATCCACGTGTGTGCTATTGCGTGTTCCATTCACTCCGACTGCAATCGGTACTGAAATGAAACATCAACGAATGCTACTTTCTCATCTGTAGATGGCTTCAAAATATTGTTTCTGAAGAGCACCTACATAATCTAAAAAAAAAAAAAGTGTGAAGTAATTATGGTTCCTTATTTCATTTCAACTGAAAATACGAGGGGGTACCCAAAAGAAACCGAACTTATTTTTTTTAAGCTTATTTATTCAAATTTTAAGCACAAACCTTCAATCCCCTTCAAAGTACTCTCCACTTACACTAATACACTTGTCTAGTCTTTTATTCCATTTTTCAAAACATTGTCTAAATTCATCTTTTGAGATGCTTGACAGCGCCTCCGTCGTTTTTTTCCTTCACCTCAGCAACATCAGCAAAACGCTGAAAAAAGTTTTTGATCATTTCGGGACTCTTCTTTCAAAGCACAGCCTGCTTCCACGCGGCCCTGTTTTTGTTCAGCAGTCAGCAGTCGTGGCACGAATTTTGCAGCCACCCTTTTCATTCCCAAATCTTCTGTCAAAATTCGCTGCACTGAGCTCCAAGTCACTCCCGACAGCTCCACAATTTCTTCAATGGTCCGTCGTCGATCTTCCTTGATGATTTCACGAATTTTTTCAACATTTTCATGTGTTCGGGCCATTGCAAAAACGACGATCATACAGAACAGTTGTCACTATAAACTCTGCCGAAACTAGTCCTTACCTTCTGAAGCAACGGTAGTCGGCTTATCGACTCAGGAATGTTAGCTCTATGCGCTCATAGCGGCAAAACGCGGTTCTACAAAAGCTCTGCCCACAAAAAAAATTAGTTCGGTTTCTTTTGGGTACCCCATCGTATATACCGAAGAATTCTTGTGTAAAATGTTATGATATTGCATTTGAGCATATGCTGCATTTGTTTATATATGTAATCCAAGACCACTATCTTTCAAATCCTTTCCAGTTCATGGTTTATCTGACATATCATTCGACGCTGTATAAGTACTGCCTCAAAGAGAGGCACGTTGCACATAGGGAGCTACCACTGCACTCGTGTACTAACCTCGAGGCACTATCTGGACGAATGTCTTGACTCCAGTATGCGGGGGCTCCGGTTTGAACACGGGTTCGTCACTGTCAGGGGAACAGTAGTCGGCATACTTCATGGAGAACACGCACTGTGCATTCAGCTTCATCATGGCGAGAGCTGAGAAATAGCTTGTGCAGTCCACCTTGATCAGTGCGAAGCCCAGCTCAGATGCTACCTGTCTGTAACAGAGAACATCAAACTTATGAATTTGCAGAGGCAGAGTTCCACAACGTTCACGATTCACGGAAGATCATTTTCTTGTTTTATTCTCAAAACTTGCAGAAGAAATTGTGTTGTACACCTGACCGTTTCCCTTCTTCCTGTTGTGTAGCGTTCTGGACGTAGCTTCATATCAGGGGAATACAAGTATCATCGGTGTTTCAGATAAACCTACTGCAATTCTGCAGAACACGAAGCATGTCCTTGAAAATATTAAATGACATGTAACATTCCTTCTAATGCAAATATGTTCATAAACTTTTCTGCACTGCAGTAACACAGAGTGTAAGTCGGATGCTAAAGTATTTAAATCATCTGTGACAGAAGGTCCACTCAGCCTCGTGATGATACTTGAGGAGCTATTTCAAGGAAATAGCGGCTCCGGTCTAAAAACCCGAAATTAACGGCCATATGGATTCGTTGCGCTGACCACGCGACTCCCTCTATCCGCTAAAATTGGCACTAACTTCGCCGACAAGCCGCGGTCGTTCGGTCGGTATAGTTCGCTTGCAGACTAAAATCACGGAGTGACAGAAAGAAGATAAATAGAAAAGAAATTTAAACCATAGGTCATGGAAAAATTGATTCCGGCTTTTGTGAAAGTATGCAGGCTCTGGGAGGGTTAATTTAAAGATAAATAAAAGATATCGGGTTATGAACAACATAATTTCCACTAGGTTTCATAACGATTATGAAGGTCTGTCTTCCTGTTTCGGCATGTAATGTCGTGTAGTTTCGCAGACCTAGACACCAGTGCTTTGCAGGGCCCTATCGCCTCCATTTTCAGGAAAAAAAGAGTACTGGACTGTTACATCGTGTGGTGCTGTGCAGATTACATATACATATACATATTATGTTCTTCAGTGTCATAACTAACTAATTAACTAACCGCACGGAGCTGAGCTCATCTGGAGAAGCCGCCAATTATGCCGCTATTCAAGAACTTTCCAGCATTTTATAGAACCCGAAAGTTCACTACCGTGTTCACAAGAGCCCTCCACTGGCCCCTATCCTGAATCAGATCAATCCAATCTATACCGTCCCATCCTATCTCTCTAAGATCCATTTTAGTATTGTCCCCCCAACTACGCCTTGGTCTTCTCAGTGGTTTCTTTCTTCCTGGCTTTCCCACCAATACAAGCATCCCATGTGCTTTCATCTTCCCCACCATTCGTGATATGCCCTGTCCACCTCATCATCCTTGACTTGATCGTTCTAATTATATTTGGTGAAGAGTACAAGTTATGAGGCTCCTCATTATGCAGTCCCCCCCCCGTCACTTAATCTCTCTTCGGTCCAAATATTCTCCTCAACACCCTGTTCTCAAACACCCTTAGTTTGTGTAGGTAAGTAAAGTAAACTACCTCTGTAACAGGCCGTGAAGGCCCATAGGGTTGTGAGATGTTGAGGCTCCCACATCTTCTAGACAATAGGCCCATAGATGGCGGTAAGGTTGTCAGCCCTACGCGCCGGCCGCGCTTTACTCCCCAAGAAAATTATTTAATTAATTCATGGTACTCATTTCTGTTAGAGGCTGAGTCGAACCCAGGGCCATAGTGCGGCTGGAAGGATTAGGTCAATTGATTAAAATCCAATGACCTCATCGGGATTCGATGCCGTGACCTTCCGGCTTGTAGCATAGTGCCTCAACCAACTACGATACCGCGTGCACCCTCAGTATTTTTTCCCCCTTTAATGTGAGATACCAAGTTTCGCACCCGTACAGAACCACAGGCAAAATTATAGTTTTGTATATTCCAATTTTTATGTAGTCCAATGTCATATCACAATATAATACAGTAATCACGAGTTAGGTAGGACTCAGCTTCACTAAACTGTCTACCATGGGGGTAGACACAATACTACGAAGTAGGTTCTACAATTATCTGTCTAAAACATCTCTGAAAGTATATCATCTCTTGAATAGGCAACCTTACGCAAGAAAAGTCTCGTGTGTTCAACGAGATTTCTGTTATGGAGGCTTTGGTTACTGTCGTATGTTGGAAATAGAATCTAGTAACTTTCTAATAATGAGGTAGCGAGATGATGACGCAACGTCAATGAATTTTTAGACACAGAATACTGACTTGGTTTGCTTGAGAAGTGCAGTCGCGACGCCTTTCCCGCGCCAAAGTGCATCTACAGCTATGATGCGTATCTCAAGCAGCTCGCCGACTTCAGGAAACTTGCCAAACACGTCAGCTCGCCGTTCCAAGTATGCCAGAAGCCTCAGGATCTTGCGGAACTTGGGGTTGGGGCAATTTTCAGCCTCTGCCTCCATCTGGTCAACATGACCCGGCACGAGGGAGCCATTGAGGCAGGCACCCACCACGTCTCCATCCGGCGACTCAGCAATCAGGGACAAACCTGCCAACATCCCAACACGTGTCATCATCAAGAGCGCTTGTCTTCCAGAATGCTACGCGCTGTAGCCCAGTCTGGAAGGAACTTATTCCTCGCACTCTCAGGGTCCAAGAGTAAACAGGGTTTTGCTTGTTCCTTGTTTCTTGTTTACTCTTCAACCCTGAAAATGAAGTCAGCGTTTACCTCCAAAACGTAGGCCGCGCCATAGCTCAAGCGGTTAGTCGCCGGTTTCCCACAACGGCGGCCCGGGTTCGAACCCAGGTCAGGTCATGTGGGATTTGTGGTGGACAAAGTGGCACTGGGGCAGGTTTTCTCTAAGTACTTCAGTTTCCCCTACCAGTTCTTATTCCACCAACTGCTCCACATTCATCATCAATTATTATCGTGGGCTGGTACAAGAAGTCAATTAGTGGCCGACGTACCAAGTGGACTCAGGTCTCACCCCATTCCAAGAAATTTAACTTCCTCCAAAATATCATTGAAATCCTGCTGGATTGTACGACGTCACATTCAGGAAGATAACTCCCCATAACCACCGCTGTGGGAACCTTGAATTCACCCCTCATCATTAGAGTCTCTTAGTTTCTTAGACCTTTACCGACGTTTCGGAGGAATATCAAGTCTCCATATTTAGGGTTGACTTGTAAGCCACGGGGCAGTCAGTAAGAAATAACCACTCTGTTGGATTTAAAGTTCTTACATTGGTGAATATGAAGAGGTCTCTATTCTGGGATGTGGCGTCATACAGTCCGATAAAAGTCAAGGACAATTCAAAGTATCACCTCCATCTTCAGTGCCTGAGAATGGACCATCAAGAAAAGAGGGGGCTGTGTTTACCGCACGATTCTTGTTGTTTTCTTGCTAGGCTTGCGGCAAAACAGCCCAGAAAACAGAAGGTTTCAACAAGCACTCTGCTTGCTACCTTCTCACTCCGTCTTTAATGCAACTTAAAAATGTTTACATTATCTCTTTAATATAAGATGACACTAAAATCATATCAACTGCTACATATTTCGGCCTTACATGGCCATCTTCAGGCAAATGTTCACTTTTTGAAACCGTCGCACTGCACCAGATCGGAAGTCAATATATTTCCATGCTGCTGCATATCGTTGTTCACACTAAAAGGTGTTTATCTCAGAACGAAACTCTCTCTCCGTTCGCGTAATTGCCTGAAGATTGCCAAGCAAGGCCGATACATGTAGCAAATGAGGTGATTTTAATGTTATTTAAATGAAAAAAAGATTGTGAACAATTTAAATTGCATTAAAGACGGCGGTGAATAAATGACTGATACATCAACTCAACAGAATGCTCAAATATAATATTGCTACTTCTTATTTTCTTGGTCAGTCTACTCGTCGATCTTGAAGATGGAGGCAGCATGTTGATCCTAAACATCGTTAAGCGTCTATCAGACTACATGGCTTCACATGCCAGAAGATATTACTCTAGAAACTTAAGGACAGTAGGCAGAAAGTGGGAAGCCTCGAGTGTCACAGCCCCACCATTCGCGGGACTTCTCTCCGTGGCTGTATCATGGCGGAGTGACTATCAGCATCTCAGGAAGGTTGAGCTGCATGAAGCTAGTTCTTTATTAAACTGGGTGAGGTAAAGAACGCCATGAAGGCGTATGAGGGAGTGGATGAATAGATCCACATTTTCATGACCTTGACATCAGATGGAAGTGAGTGATGAGTTTCAAACCCCGGCCGCTTTACCCCCGGGGAAAGGGCCCCCCGGTACCCATTGGATAGGAGGTTGGCTGGTCCTCAGTCTGGACGAGGTGGAGACGACAAAATTCTTCTCCGACTTCTCTGCCGTCCAGCCCGTAGCCAGTCGCTCTACCGACTGCGCTGTCCCGGATCCATTGAAATGGGAAGGAATATTTAATTTACTATTGGAACACAGGCAAAACTCTGTCTAACGATCGGGTCTCCTGTCTACTTCACCCTGTCAACCTAATCACTTTATGTGCAATTAAGAACATACTTACCGTCACATAGCGTCTCCAGACAGAATTGTTCCAGCTCCGGACAAGTATCGACGTCGTCGAGCAGTCCGACTGCAATGTTAAGCGGTTCATCCCTGAAGAAGGAGCTCCTCATCAATCGTAACACCCTCTCATCGTCCGTAGAGGTCGCAGGTCTGATATGGTAACTGTTCCTGTCAGCCATGACGCTATGAAACATAACTACGCGTACAGTCGAAATTTCCTGTCTTATGGAACCAGAGTGAAAAATATCCGTTTTCATATCTTCAATGATTATTTATCAAAATCGTAAGAGGTACTTAAGTTACTATTTATAAGGTTATTGGATTTTTCAATTGACCTAATCCTTCCAGCCGCACCATGGCCCTGGGATCGACTCAGCCTCTAACAGAAATGAGTCCCAGGAATCTTTCTGGGGGATAAAGGGTGGCCGTTGCGTAAGGGTGTGTAGCCGTACCACTGACACCACCATCTTTATTTGTAATCAATATTTCTTTTTAGAGTAATTATACACAAAATGTAGCAAGGAACACTCAAGGGTGACTTAGCCCGATTCTTGGTTTCAAGAATAGGGCCTGCTTCACTGCTACAAAGACCAGACAGGAAGCACCCCGCAAAGTTTTCCTGGAAATTCAGTTCGAAAGTGGACCGGCGGGATCCTTTGGTAAAGTTACACTTGACAAGTTTTGAACCCCATAAGTCAAAAGTGGGAAGGCCAGCAACCCACGCTACTGGTATAATTTTTCAGGCAGCTATCTAAAACGACGTTAGGACTTTAAGGTCCAAAGTCCCAAATTAAAGTTATGTGATTGGAGCAGTGAGAATTATGGTTAACTCCCTAAATTCGAATTGTTCCAATCAGCAGAAATTAGGGTAGTAACTTGGAGGCGGAGCTGAAGCCGCGAAGATTTCTTGCTTCGAAGCAGGGTCAGTCTGCGAGAGGAGAGGAAT